AAGGCAGAGGCTTTAACCCATTGAGCCACCCAGGTGCCCCCATTAATTAATATCTTAAAAACAAAAGCAGAAATCCTCTGCAGAAATATAACAGGTAAAGCAGTGTAGAGTGTGGAGGGTTTGTCTTTCTGTTATTCCTTGTCCTTATTCCTTTGGAAGCGGGTTGTGTGCTAATGCCCTGGGCTCAGGGGGAAGGCAGGAATAGCTCTGGACGTTCTCGTGACTTTTGCTTTAAAAAAGCCACAGAAGAAGAAGATCTGGAGGTTTCGATAACATGCATTGGATCCAAAAATGAAATGAGAAAGAGGCTTTCTTCCAGGTGGAGGAAGTGAAAAGAGGAGGTCTCCGGATGCTACTTCTGGACCCCAAGTGCCAGGTGAGGGTCCCAGCAGCTTGACCCAGGCAGGGTGGAGCAGACCCTAAAAATATCATTGAGTTAGAGGCACCTGGGTGGCTCAGTCATTAAGCATCTGCCTTTGGCTTGGGTCATGATCCTACGGTCCTGGGATCAAGCCCCACATCGGGCTCCCTGCTCGGCAGGAAGCCTGCTTCTCCTTCTCCCACTCCCTCTGCTTGTGTTCCCTCTCTCACTGTGTCTCTCTGTCAAATAAATAAATAAATAAAATCTTTAAAAAAAAAATCAATGAGTTAAATTCTCTTTTCACTTCCAGGATCTCGGGGCTAGAAGTGCAGTTGCCCCAGCAGAGAATTTAAGAAAAATCACTTTTCTTAGCATGGCCAGGACCGGGGAAGACCAAGATTCACCGGCTGCCTTTGGACACTTGGGGCTGCCGTGGCGCGGGCAGGGGTGGGGGTACTCCCAGGGTGGGGAACATGCACCCTGAAACTAGAGAACCCCCAGCGGCCTTGGAGAAAATCCCAAGAGGTTCCAGCCCAGAGAAATTTGTCAACACGGAGGAGAAAAAAACAAAAAACAAAAAAACCCCCAAACAAACTGTGATTTTCAAATGCTATATTTGTAAAGATGCAGATTCTTGGGTTTCTAAAATTCTACGATGGGGGGAATTTAGGGTCCTGGGATGTGTGTGAGTATCTAAAACTTTATGATCCTAGAATTCCTGATAGCCCCTGGGCCAGACCCCTGTTTGTCTCCTGGAAGATGCAAATGGGCCAATTCCTGGGGAACTGGGAAGTCTGAGGGGGCATGTCCTGGCCTGGAGGCTGGTTCAAAGGGATACACAGCCCCGTTCTGGGATCCAAAGGGGGACCTGACTCATTCTGGGGACCTGAGGGCGACCCACCTTGCCCTGGGATCTGAGACAGGGAGACATCGACCTTCTCAGGGCAGGTGTGAGGGGGGCCGAGCACATCTTTCCTGGATGGTAGGGAGGGCTGGGTGGTCTGAGACCCCAGCAAAGAGGCCTTTTCTTCCTTCCATTGCCCCCTACCCCCCACCTCAGCCAGCCTGTGGGGGAAACTGAGGCTGCCTCCATCCAGCCTTCCCCCTCTGGCCCTCGCATCGCTCACCCCATTCTGCTGAGGCCCAAGGAATGCAGCCCCAGCCCCAAGGTCTCCGGGAGGAAGCGCATGTGTGAGAAAGCGGGAGATTGTCTTGTCAGGGGCATAGGACATGAGCTGGGGGAGCAAAAAGGTGGCAGTCTCCTCTAGATGCTCGGGAGTGCCACCAGGACCCTTTCCTGGGGCTGCCCGTCTCTGCCCTGCCCCCAGCCCCCAAGCTGCCTTCCCCAACTCAGGCTTTCACTTCCCCCTCCTCAAAAGGGTTTGGAACTTCTCTTTACCTCAAGGGACTCAATGATGAGATATTTCTAAAGCGGACACCCAGCACAAGGTAAATGGGAACTGTTCATACTTCTTCCTCAGTAAGCACTGAAAGTGCTGAGTTTTTGTTTAGTTAGTTTTTAATCTTGCTGGTTTGTGCGGGCACATTCTGAATGCTTTATGTGTATGAGGTCATGGGCCCAGGGCTGCTGCCAATCCACAGCCAGGATGCCCAGCGAAACTTAAGTTCCAGATAGAGGGGCGCCTGGGTGGCTCAGTGGGTTAAGCCTCTGCCTTCGGCTCAGGTCATGGACTCTCTGCTCAGCGGGGAGCCTGCTTCTCCCTCTCTCTCCGCCTGCCTCTCTGACTAATCGTGATCTCTGTCTGTCAAATAAATAAATAAAATCTTAAAAAAAAAAAAGTGCAGATAGATAGTGAATACAGCAGTGCCTGGGTGGCTCAGCTGGTTAAGCATCTGCCTTCAGCTCAGGTCATGATCTCAGGGTCCTAAGATCAAGCCCCGCATCGGGCTCCCTGCTCAGAGGGAAGTCTGCTTCTCTCTCTCCCTCCTGCTTGTGCTCTCTCTCTCTCTCTATCAAATAAATAAATAAAATCTTTAAAAGGAAAAAAGATAGTAACTACATTCTTTTAGGATAAGTGTATCCCCAGTATTGTATGGGACATACTTGTACTAACGAACTTCGCATGGCTTATCCACATGGGCTCCTCACATGACATAGAGGGTCTATGACTGCCTCTGGCTCCTGGACGAAGGGACCGGAGCTCAGATTGGGGAGGGGGGCCTGCCCAGAGCGCCCAGGGCAGGCGTCTGGCCAGCGGCCTTACCAGGTCAGCCTGGCACTGGCGGAAGCTGGCGTTGATCCTGTCCAGGTCGCGGCGGGCGCTCAGCATCATCTGCGTGATGGTCTCCTTGGCGCGGGAGGTGAGGTTGAGATCCTTGGACAGGTTGGCCTGGGAGGCCGTGAGCCCCACGACCTGGTTGTACAGGCTCTCGGCCCGGCGCTCGGTGGCCTGCAGGTTGGATTCTGTGCTCACGTGCACGTTGCCGTAGACCATGAAGAGGACGAGGCCCAGGATGATCAGAAACTGAATGAGTGACACAAAGAGGAAGAAGTAGCGCAGGTAGTACCAGCAGTCCCTCGGGCTGCCCCCTGCCCGTGAGTAGGCTCCTCCGTGCTCCATTGCCAAGCCCATCTCTGCCCGGGGCCCGCAGTGCTGTTCCCCTGGTTGGCCTGCGCTGGGTGGCGGCTGCTGCCCCTTGTGCTCACCCTGCCACGGAGCGGGGGGAGTGTTTATATTACTCCTCTTAATACTTCCTCTGCCTGGCTCCTTCCTGACCGGGAGGAAATGGGGGCTGTGGGTTATCACAACACTCCCACCCTGGCTGTGAAGGGAGGGGCCGGGGCGCTGCTGGGTTTCTGATAGTCCCTGGGTGGGGCACCAGCTGGGTGACGGGGTTGGGGAGCTTCTTTGGCTCCTCGGAGCCTCAGTTTCCCCACCTATCCTCACTATTCTCAGCACTGGCTGCATACTGTCTCCTGTCATCGACCCCTGTGGTATGGAGGAGGAAACTGAGGCACAGGGAGGCAAAGGGACCATCCCTGGGTCTCACGCTGTGAGTTCACAGAGCCGGGCTTCCCTCTCGGTGGACTGACTATGGATGTGCATTCGCCTCATGAGCTAAATCAGGTGGAGTGCTTGGCCCAGAGCTGGGCATACAGTAGGTGCTCATCGGGGCTTCCCAGAGGGCTGACCCGTGGATGACCATGGCCCAGGCTCCCTGAGGTGTCACCCGCGGCCCTCCTCACACAAGTGCTGCATAAGTACTCCGGGAGCAGTGTAGGTGGCAGAGCTGGCAGAGCAGGCTTGACCCAGCTGAGCTCAAGGGAGGGGTTTCTCCTGTCTGTTCTCAGTTTCCCGTTCCGTGAGATGGGTATCCCTGTGCTGTTCCCGAGACAGGGCCAGGGAGGGGGCCCATAAGAGAGGGTTTGTGATTTTGTTATTACTATCATTTCCTGCTGGAAGTGTTATTTCGGGACTCTGTGAGATGGTGAATGGGAAGTGCTAGATAGGTGGGGTTGAACTGCACGTTGGGTTACCCCCAGGTGGGTGTGAAGGGGTTTTGGGGACCAAGGAGCAAAGGATTTTGGGTGCGCCCTCTTCTGCCTATCCCCTGAGAACCAGGAGCTCCAGAAAAACCCTCCATGCTGGATGAGGTGTCAGCCTCAGACCTGGCCATAAGGGACCCTTAGTCTTAGGGAGGCAGAGTGGGACACAGCCCTTAGCTCCATGAGGTCAAGGCTGGGAAGAATGGAGGCTAAGGGGGAAAGGGGGCTAAGGGGAAAGGGCCCAGCAGATGGAAAGGATGCTGGACAAGCACACCATTACTGTACACTGCTTGGGGGGGGGGGGGCACAGCAGGGTGAACGGTGTTGCTTGGGGACTCACCCCCCCATCAACCAGGGTAATGGAGTGGGGGGTGGTTGACAGTGGGGACGGGGTCCTCTAGGATGGTGTTCATCACGGGGGCAGGAGTTGGGTTGGGAAGGAGGAAGTTCCCAGGGGTAGGCAGGAAACCCCTGTCTGACCTTTGGCCTTTGCAGCTACCCAGCAGATTCCTGATTCCGGACCCTTCCAGAGGCTTCTTGCAGGGAGGAGGGTTGGGGGCTGCAAGTGGTGCCCAACCAGCTATTTCTCTAGGTTGGCCAGGCCCACCCAGAGTCCCCAGAGCAGGGTGGGAGGAGGACATCTTGCATCTTTGTTAATAGGGACCATGTAGGCAGAGTGAATACATAGTTTCAGCGTAGGCTCTGGATTTAAGCTCTGGCTGTGTTACCGACCCCTGTGTGATCTCAGACAAATGATTTTCCTTCCTTAATTAAGCCACAGTTTTCTTTTGTCGAAAGTGGAGGCGACATAGCCAGTTATGAAACACTTGTCACAGTGTCCGGCACACACTCAGCCTTAGTAAATGAGGATAATTTTTTAAGGTGAGAGAGGCTGGATCATGTGTAGCCTCTGATGCCAGGATGAGAAATCGATATACGGGGGAGGGACACTGCTTCCAAGTAGTGTGCTTAGGGCCTGTGGGAACACTGGGAGGAAAACAGCATGTTGACAGCCTAGATAACATGGGTCCAGTGGAGATACACAGACACGGGGACAGTGCCTGGGCCAGCACCAGTAAGTGTGACAGTCTTGGTTTGCACTTAAGATCCTGTCTATTCTTCACGATATATTGAAGGTGTTGCATATAGGTATATGAGCATGACATCTGCTGTCAAGGAAAAAGAAAGGCAACCATAAATTCCCAGAAAATTAAAAAGCCACCCTAGATCCAATAGTAAAATTTTGAGTGTCACAGTGTAAGAAATCGTTTTATTATTATTTATTTTAAAAAGATTTATTTATTTGATAAAAGATTTATTTGAGAGAGAGAGAGAGAGAGAGAGCACATGCACACACAGACAGATTGGGAGAAGAAGTCTCCCTGTTGAGCAGGGAGCCTAATGGGAGGCATGGCTTGATCCCAGGACCCTGAGATCATGACTTGAGCCAAAGGCAGAAGCTTAATCGACTGAGCCACCCAGGTGCTCCTTATTTTTTAATGAATTAATTAATTAGAGAGAGTTCATTTGCCTGAGTGGGGGGTCCAGGGCTGGATGGGGCAGAGAGAGAAGGAGAGAGAGAATCACAGGCTCCACGTGTGGGGCTAAATCTCATGACCCTGAGATCATGACCTGAGCTGAAATCAAGAGTCAGACATTTAAAGGACTGAGCCACACGGGTGCCCTAGAAACGGGTTTGAATGTACACCCTAACATCGTTTGTATCAAGCTCAAAAGCAACATTCTATCTCTTTTTGGTAATTTGATCTCATATCTTCCATTAGCAGTGTTTCTTTTTTGAATAGTTTGTTTTATTAGCTAGATTTTTTAAAATGGAAAAAGTAACGATGAAACTTTGTCTTTTTGCTTAACATGATGTTTTTAAGATTTGTTGACTCCTTTTGCCTGAGGCTGAGGTTTTCACCACAGACATTACTGTAATAATTATCAATGGGCATTTAGACAGTTTTTAAATGTTTTGTTTCGCTGAACAAAATCAGAGCTGGTATGAAATCCCCACAAATGAAACCACTGGTTTCCAAAGCATTTTTATCTTAGATTTTTGACAGCTGGTCACCACTTTGTCCTCCAGAGGTGGTTTCCTTCAACACTCCTGCCAGCAGTGTCTAAAATCTCTGAAAACAGACTTTCCGAACATTTTGCCTGTGTCCCTGGCCACAAAAATCCCTGCGGGAGGAAGCCAATGACAGGTCTTTGGATTCGCATGAGGTCAAATGCATTGGTCCTGATGTGAGCCCTTGGGTTTTTCCTGAAAACAGTTTATCACGGTCACAGGAAATTTTGCCCATGAGCCCCTCTGAATTCCCTTGGAGGGTCATCACAAAATCAGGCTTTGATTTTAAACTTTCATCTGTTGATATGTTCTCTAAATTAAAAACCATCAGTTTCTGTTGGTGTGTTCTCTAAATTAAAAACCATCAGTTTGTTTTTATTTGTTTGTTTGTGCAGAGAAGGGAAAAGTATTATGAGGAAGTCAACTTTGTGTCACTCCCTAACACTGACACTGAAATTTTTAAGAAGACACAAGATTTTTAAAAGCTCTCACAGAGGGGTGCCTGGCTGCCTCAGTGTGGTTAAGTGTTTGCCTTTGGCTCAGGTCATGATCTCAGGGTCCTGGGATTGAGCCTAGCTCTCTATCTAAAATAAATAAATAAAATCTTTAAACATTTTATTTATTTTTAAAGATTTTATTTATCCATTTGAGTGAGCGAGAGAAAGAGAAAGAACGCACAATTAGAGCAGGGAGGGAGGGGGAGAGAGAGAAGCAGATCCCCAGTCGGCAGGTAGCCCAAAGCCAAGCTTGGGATCCGGACCCCAGCTGAGCTGAAGGCAGACATTTAAGGACTGAGCCACCCAAGTGCCTGCCTGGCAAACCATTTCCTTACTTGGGATTGGGGGTGCTGGCGGGCTCAGGCTGCCGCTGTCCCAGGTGCTCTCTGCCTACAGCAATGTCACGCTTCCCCTTTCTTTCTGTTTCTTTCTCTCTCTTTCTTTCTTCCTTCCTCCCTCCCATCCTTCCTTCCTTCCCCCCCCTTTTTTTTAAGATTTTATTCATCCATTTCACAGAGAGAGAGATCACAAGTAGGCAGAGAGGCAGGCAGAGAGAGAGGGAGAAGCAGGTTCTCCACCCAGCAGAGAGTCTGATGCGGGGCTTGATCCCAGGACCCTGAGATCATGACCCAACACAAAGGCAGAGGCTCAACCCACTGAGCCACCCAGGTGCCCCACACGCTTCCCATTTCTGTCCCTCCTATTGTTACTGCAGCCATGGGATGGGGGCGACAGGGTGACAAGGGTAGGGGAAAACAGGGCAGGGACCTAGGAGGGTATGCCGGGGGTTGGGGTGGAGACAGATAAAGAGAGACAGAGACTTAGAGAGAGACAGAGACTTTGAGTAATAGAGAGTGGGAGGCAGAACAGAGTCAGGGCAGGCCAAAGGCTGGCCCTGTGAGGTGGGAGCAGGTGGGGTCCAGGAGGCGGTCCCACCAAAGAGTGCTATTTACTTCCCTGAGCAGCTGAGGGAGCCTCAGAGCAAAAGGGGGAGGGGAGAGTGGGGGGTGATGTGGCGGGGCACCTGGGCTTGTTCTCTGTAGGTCACCCTCAGTCCCCACCTACTTACTACCTGTCCTATGGTCTCCTTGGGATATTAAAGCCCTCAGTCTGAGCCCTCTCTTCCTAATTCTTTCTGACACCAGATCTAATGGTGCCCTTCCTGCTCACACACCTGCCTTGGCTTCCTATTTCCCTCCAACCCCAAAACTGATTTTCAGGGGTATGGTGGTATGGCCAAGATGAAGCCACCAGAGTAAATGGATAATAATGATAATGTTTTACATCCCATTTACAACCCTGAGCCCAGCCCTTTTACCCTTGGACCCCAAGAGGTCTTTTTGTTTTGTTTTGTTTTTAAGATTTTATTTTATTTATTTGACAGAGAAAGACAGGAAGAGAGGGAACACAGCAGGGGGAGTGAGAGAGGGAGAAGCAGACTCATCACTGAGCAGAGAGCCTGATGCAGGGATTGATCCAGCCGAAGGCAGACGCTTAAGACAGCGCCACCCAGGCGCCTTCCAAGAGGTCTTAAGTCAGACAAAGCAGGGTCAGTCTCTTGGTCTCCAGCTCTGGCTG